ATAAATATATATATATATAAATATATATATATATTTTTTTTTTTTTTCCAGGGCTTACCCCAGTGTATTATAAGCGTGGTGGGCCACCAGGCTTAGCATTGCTTATTTATTTAAGTCTTTTTAAAATGTTTGCATTTTTAAAGACTTTATTGTTGGTATTAATCTTCTGATCTTTCAATAACACACAATTATCAAGTGATATTTTTGTATTTCTTGTCAACTTTAAAAAAAAAAAAATTAACTCAAACACAACGGGCCGCTGGATGAATGTCTGTCCTAGCACTCGGACATCGGGCTTAGCAGGTTTTCTGGGGGAAACTTTGTGTATTTATCACTAATTCCTTTCTTTTTGTCTCATTGAGAATCACCTTCATTTAATGGTGACCGCTGTGCTCTAAAGTGGATCTGTAAAGAGCTCTTCCTTCCTGTTAAGTGTGACATCATCTGTTTTTCTGAACGTTTTTTTTTTTTTAATCTTTGTAACTCACACCATGTCTGCCGCACATGTTTGTTTGCAAGCCAAAAACTTGACTTGAACTCCAGGAAAGTCAAGGACTCGGTAAGTTGATCCCTCTTCTTTGTGTTTGGATCAAAACAGCACGAAACAGACGGCATTCAGCAACACTTTAATAGGTTATACAATGGCATAGAAAAATGGACACAAGAAAAAAAAAATAGACAATTTCCTCTATAATGGATAAAAAAAACAGACAAATCACCTGCTTAGGCGAAGGACAGATTCTGTACAGGTTCTGTTTGTGGGTCGGGAAAACAACAGGAACAGAACATCTGCTGAGCTGTTGATGATGCACTCTGTATTTGGTTAACCTGATGACGATGATGTCATTTATCCAGACTGGTCAAAACGGGAAATGCTGCCCTCTAGCGGTAAGAATATGACACGTTTCAAACAGGACAAAGAAAATCTCAAACACTGTTAAGAACCGCTTCTCACATTTGAATTAATGCTCATTATAGCGTTCAGGTTAAAATGTTTTAAAGCTTCTTGTTTGCCACATTTTTATTGTAGTCACATTGATAATGTTTTAAAAATTCACCCTTTTGTTCAATGAGGTTGGAGAAATCCCTTGGTGCAACAATTAATCATTTCAAGTAAATACAATAAAGATTTTTGTAATCCAAACTCCACTTTTAGAAGTTAATGGGAACGTGGGACACATTTTAACGAGCGATCCAGGATGCCAGTTATGGATTGAGTGAGGAAATGTGTACAGACAAGTCAGCTACAGGAAAACAGCCCCTTGCTGATACTGGCCAATATCGGTCAGAGCAGCGATTACAAAGTTTAAAATAACTTCAAACAGGGACGCTGAGTTCACCTCCTACCACTCGGCTGAGGTTTCTAATTCGATGTATGTTGGCCTTAAAAGAAATTTAATAATTGGCAAGAAGTTAATCGCATAAAAAGCTTTTAATCAAATCCTGTGACTTAACTTATCAGACGCTTACAAAGCCAAAACATTCTCATAATCTCTTGTATATGAAGCACATTATTAACTCCATTCTTAATCTTTAATAATCACTTGATCTTTCAATCAGAAAGTAGGTCAGGCTGCCATCAGCTGGCGTCACTCCAAGCATTCAGTATGCTGAGGTGAGGGATTCTTCACTGGTGCAGACACAGCGAAAGCATTGCCACATACATGTACAGCATGTATTTGACATCTTTGGAGCTGTAACGCTCACGAAGCGACAGAAAATGGAAGGCAACCTGGCTCGGTTTCAGATGTGCAGAAAGGTAAAGCTGATGCTTTATTTACAGAGTCACTGATTCTCCTATGACGTCACACAAGGCAACATCATGTTTAGGGTAATATTTTAAAATGCGTCCACAGCAGCTAGTTTTCCGTTACGAATGTGCGCAAAACTTTATCGATGTTCAGTCTAATGTCAGAAAAACACAATTTCACAATTGCAGTATTTCCATTAAGAAACACAATTAAAATCACGTGAATTTTAATTCTGACATGTTCAAGCCATCATCCTCCTACCGCTTTCTGTTCTCTTTTTTTACAACATTTCCACCAGCAGTAGCATCCGGTTGTTGATTGCGCCTCGTGTGATGCGAAAAAAAGCAGCAGGAAAACCACCAAAACGTCCAATCAAAAACCATGAGTTTTTTTTTTTTAATTGACGTCTTTCCATCAAGCAAATTTATCTCCTAATTCCAATTTGCACAATTTTGTGGTCGATGGAAACACAGCTAATGTGTTTCAGAAACTTACCAAGCCTTGACATCATAGTAAACCCAGTGAATGTAAACCTTTGAATTTGAAGAAAATTATAGTTATTTAATAAATCGAAATAATTTTATTAATCCTCAATGACCTAAACCAGGAACAAATATTCAGATGTAATAAAGACAAAGGGAAGAAGACGGTGTGTGTTTTCATAACTTGTTAAATATCTGGTTTCAGCTGTTTGTGACGTGTTAGGAGAGGCCAAACAGCAGCTGGTATGCAGAACAGAGATGTGTTTAAAATTCGGATTACAACATATGTACATAAATGCATCCATTTCTAATAACTCACAGATTTTGGCCTTCATTTGTTTATGACTGAATGAGCTCATCACAGATGTCCTCACCACTTTAATGTCTTAAGAGAGACGCTCACTTCCCGTCATTCCTCATTTTTTTTATGCATTGTATAGACGCCAAAAGTTGTGCAACTTCGTCTACTTGGAATTGTTCAACGTAGAAGTGGAGCATGTTTGAGTCTCGTTCCAGGTTGTTTTTTTTTCTTTTTAAGATCTCTAACTGACTGTTTGTTTGGCGGATTCAGACAGCATCGACGTCAAAGCTCGTCCAGTTGTCCCTCTAAGCTCCTCCCCGTCCCCTCCCTCCCCTTAGTCATACCACCGTCTCGGAGCTCGAGCTTTTTCCAGTAAAAAAGTCCCAGAAGTTGGCGGCCGATGACGATTTGCCCTCGTCCTGCTGCATCTGCCTCACCCAGATGCTGTTCTCGGTGGAGCCGCTCAGACTGGAGCAGCTTCCTCCACTGACGCCGACGCTGCCCAGAGTGAAGCTCATGGCGGCGCCCCGCGGGCCACCCCGCCGGTCCTGGGGGTCTCCATCCTGACTGTGCATCTTGGACAAGGTGGACGGCTGGGACAGGCTGAGCAGGTTGTGGTGGGAGTGGAACTGTCGCATGTGGCGGATGGACTTGGCGGAGCGCGCCTCACCTGCACAGCCAAATGCAAGAACGCTGTCAGTTATGGTGATGATGCTGTTGGTACCACCCTGGTTTCTTTTAAAGGGTCCCGCACACGCTCTAACCTTTTCACTTTTTGTCAATGTACAAAAACATTCGGGTTGTGTTATTGAGAATTATAAAGCTAGAGCAGTGCTGGGAGATAAATCAATCTTATTGATTAATTTAATTTTTGGTAATTAAATTTTTGGAAAATGTGGAGGAGTCCAGGCAGATGTCAGCACGCCGAACGCCGCCATCTTGTTTGACATGCGTATTTTACAGCTTCCATTTATGTGGACTTTGAATTCAGGTCATCAACTCTATGACATAATATTAAAACCAGGTTCATTTTTTTTTTTTTTTTATGAGGATAAAGTCATATTACCAGGATACAGTTGTAATATTGGGAGAATAAATTAGAAAATTTACAAGAACTCCAACACAAAAATAACAAAAAATTAAATTGAATAACGTCGAGCGTTTTTGTGAAGTCATACTTTGGTATAAGTTTCACTGATGATACTTAATAGAAATGCCTAAATCTTTTAACACATCAGCCTCAAATTATTACCGCTAACCTGCACAAATCCGCCACTGATCGATGTTTTAAACATGCCAAACCCATAGGGGGCAGTGCAGCGCAGCGCTAAAACCTGTGTCAGCAAACATGGCGGCTGCAGTTTCGTTTGTGCGGATGTTTTGAACGTCGCAGACTGTAATGCGTGGCACCCCTAAATATCCGTTTTCCCACCTACACAGACAAACAGTAAGAGAGTTTTCTCCACGTTGTTCGTAGTTTTTATAAGTAATTATTTTAGTTGTGTTAAACCCAGTTTTTATGTGGATGAAAATGCAAAACGACTAAAAACTGATTCGTTTTCCCAGATGTCCAGCTACATATGTGGACCAGCACCAAGTCTGTTTCAAGGCTTGTGGCAAAAGGAAATTGATTTGTTCTCTTTAAAAAAAAAAAAAAAAAAAAAAAAGCTTCTATCTTGCTTCTTTTCCGTAAAGCAAATAACAATAAATGGCTTAGTCTCTGCTGAAAGAGGAGTTTTTATCCAACATAAAATCTCAATAAAACGCTCGAGTTTGTGGCTGTAACGACAAAATGTGAAAACATTTAAAGAGAAACAAGACGCTACATACATATAGGCCTGTCGCGATAAACGATAAATCAATAAATCGCACGATAAATTAAACCTATCAACCTAATTTAAAAGGTCGTTCTTCCTGCCTTTTTCTGTTTCTCTTGATGACACTGAATGAAAAAAGGCTCAACTCCGGTGCTCTCCACTGATCATCCCTTCCTCATTTCCTTAGTGTAATGTCCAGCTCACACAACACGAGTTGTCGGCCCATTTTCAAAACATGAGACACATATTAGCCGACAGAAATCCTAGGTATAACGGTTCGATCGGGTTCGTCATGCCGTGTGGTTTCCAGCCACCTGGGCACAAAATAATGGCTACAAGTCCAGTTATCTAATTTTAAAATCAGGCATTAATCAATGCTTTATTAGAATCTACCTGTGATACATGTGGCTAGAGTCAGTGTAAAGTCCTGACTGAATGAAAATCATTATAACCTATTTATGTCACGTTAACGAAGAACAGCTGAAAAGTTACCGGGTTTATCAACTGCGGTAGTAATTTGGCTCCAACTCCTCTCCTGGTCATTTCTATATTCTTTGCACGAAATGTTGAATAAATATTAATGTTGTTTCCACATATCATCTCCGATGTCCGCTGGACTTTGGGTTGCGCCGTGTCAGCTGTTTGGGATTCCCCTCCGTAATTTCCCCTCAGAAAGCAGGAGGAGAATCCGCGCTTTCTGATTGGCTACCTGTCACATTCTGCTTTAAGCTCCCAGTCTGGGGAAAAACCCCGATTTAGATCGGAGCGGCCACGACGATCTACTGCAACACACCACACACTACAGGATGATCGGTTACGAAATCACCAGCGAGAATCTTAGATCAGCCAACGATCTAAGATTGTGATAAGGAGAAAATAGCGGCAGAAAATCGTGTAGTATGAACTATTGCATTAGATAGTCGGATGTGCTCATCTTCTCTATTTAAATCTAGTGATTACTGAAGGGCAATATAGTATACAGACTTCATAATCTGCACTCTTTTGGTTGAATGCAGTATTTATTTCCGCTTTGGCTTTATGTTGTTTATTTTTTATTCAACTACGTTTTTTGTTAATGGAGACCGAGAATCCATTTTATTTTTGTTTTTGGTTGTTTTGTTTATTTAGTTTATCAGTTCCAGTGTTATGTGTTCTTTTGAAAATAAAGTGTATCTATCTATGGCAGGAAAAAAACATGCATTATTAGTCATTTCCATTAAATTCAGTGTCAAAAGGTCTTGAAACAATATTATCATTTATCGCAATAATTTTTTAGACAATTAATCTTCCAGCACAATTTGTTCTCGTGACAGGCCTAATTTTCTATGATAGAAAAACAACCGCTGACAGGCTGCTGCATAACCACCTCTCTGACTGACTGCCAGATGGCGCTGTTGCCTCATTTATCTCATCACAGTGAACAACCACAGGATTAAATCCTGAAATCATCCACCAGTTTAGAGACACTACTGGCTTTTTTGTCCAAGTCCAAAGCAAAATATTTATATAAAAAATGTAATTTAAACATCTATATAATTGGTTTGTCAATAGTCAGTAAATCTCTTGTGAACCGTTTCTTTTCTAAAAATCTACCAATAAACAGAAATGTGAAAGCATACAGATAAACGTCTATGTAAGGATTTCCAGGATGACAACTATTAAGTGATCAGCCAGCTGTTGATCAAAATCATCCAGTTTTTCTTTGACTAGCTCCAACTGGTGATTTTGGCCTGTTTGTTAAATGCATCATCATTAACAAACAGCTTGTTCTACAATGTACTCTGGAGTTTAGCAGAAATCACTTAAATGGTAGAAATATAACACTAGATTATCTTGAAATTACTTCATTTTCTGCTGGATTTAAAATGACAACCTTGTAGTTTTAAACACACTTTTAAAACCACATTTTATCCCTCCAATATGATTTTATTTAACAAGACAGGACATCTTGAAACCTTTTTTTTCCTTTTTCACAGTTATTAGAGTCACTTTGACCCAAAAAATTGAGGAAACTAAAAGGAACACCACGCGAACAGCGGCTATCTCAGAAGATTACAAGCCTGACATGTTTTCTGGGCTTGTGCTGCAGCTGGATGTGCTGCGTCAGGTCAGGCAGACCTACCAATCATCCAGCAGTAGGGCTGGATGATTGCAACTACAACACAGCACGCTGTGTTGTAGTTGCATGGTCACCTCTTGTGCCTCAGCATTAAGCATCATCTGATCAGATTCTCCAAATAATCTATGTAAACTTTAATGTAGAAACAGCTTCTTTTTTTCAACATATTTATGTCTAAAACATTTTTCATGTCATTGCCTGAAACTGTTGTCTTTTGCTGTGAATGTGCCTGAAACCCCCTCAAACAAGCGGGTAAAACAAGTATTGAACACATAACAGTTTAGCTGCTGGGCTGGTCTGCAGCTTTTTTCGCGCTATGTTTTCTTTTTTATGTGTTATTGTCACCAAACATGAATTCTGTAATTGCCACTTTCCTAATCTTCATATTATCCTTTAACTTCTGGACTCCAAAACATTTGGGGGCTCGTCCGTGACCTAAACTGGGATTTCTTGCAGCCCAAACAAGAATCGTTCTTCTTGAGATTTTGCACAAATGGACAACATAAATATAAAGTGTGTAAAAATTTCTTAAAATTATTCAGATGGTAAATGGAACCAATACCGAATCTCCCTTCTGGCCGGTTTCTGGTCTGGTTCAGTTTGAGGACGTTGAGGAAGACCTCGCTGGTCAGGCTGCCCTCACCGCCGCTCCCATCCGGAGGGAAAAGCGGCGACGGCGGCTCAAGAGGAGACAAACTTCCGCTTGAGGCCCCCACGGAGTCCAAAGAGGCCCCTGTGTCCCGGCGACCCCCGGACTCGCTGCTGCCCTCTACCGTCAGGTGGCTGCCACTGCGAGCAAGAAGACAAGCTCAGATCGATGACTAGCAAGAGTCAGATGACTAGCAAGAGTCAGAAACTATTTGTGGCTGACCCGACAGCAGATCGGAGGAGACGTACCTGAGTTTCCTCCGCAGGAGATAATCGATGACATCCGGGTCGGTCTGGATCAGACTCATCAAGACTTCCTGCTGAAGCTCTGCAGACACCTACAGGAACACACAGACCATCCAATCCAATTTAATCTCCAGCTACGGAAGAGAAGTGTCAACCCAACGCATTGGTGGTGAAATCTCTCCAGTGTCTCTTTGAAATAATGACCACAACAAAGGCTGCTGATAGGTGTGATTCTTCTGGTACCGTGAAGAGCCTCCTGTAGTTCTGTATGAGCACCAGAGTGATGCTGATGATGGCCGTGCTGTCCTCGATGCCCATCGCCTGAGGACTCATGTCTCCGCCTCCCTCCCTCTGGAGTAGGTTCGGCCCGAAGATCACGGCCAGGTTGGCCGCCGTCATCTTGTTACCGGGAATCTGCAGGGGGAGCGACGGCGGTAAAGATGGGGAAGGAAACAGTGATTGCGTTTCCAATGACCATATATGGCACAAATTGGAATTATGAAAATACATGTGCTTAAAGGAAACACATCAACTTAAAATTTTTTTTTTAAAACACTCAAATTTTCAAAGAGGTTGTTTATCAGCTTTATCGAAATTAGTGAATTTCGCAAAACTGCAATGGAAACACTTTTTCACATGAGCCATGTGATCAACAACCCGATGTTACTACTGGCAGAAAAGTCAAAGAAAATGACAGGAAGTAGAAGGGGGGGAAAGGCCTGCCATGATTTTTAATGTTAATACGTGAAAAAAAAGTAGCGATGGGATTTCAGCAGATAAGACAAGTAAACATTTTTACCACTTGACGCAAAGAAAGACGTGATGCTGGACTTTTATTTCGATTTTCGACACAAGAGGACATGATGAGCCACCGAGGCTCGCTAATTTGTCTTGCCTACCTCCTCGTCATTGGTCCCTACGGTGTCCTGGGCGTAGCTCTGCACGGTCTGCAGCATGGACAGGAGGCGCAGCAGCGTGTCGCAGTTGCAGGGAGGGAGCAGATACAGGAGGTGCTGGAGGAACTGCAGCTGGTCTGCTCCTCTCAGCACTGCGTGAAGCATAAACCAGGGTTACCTGCTGAGCCACAATGATGCTGCAACCTCTGCTCTTCAAAAGCCCAGCGCAGCAACTTGCAGAAGCATAAATAACCTTTAACTCTTTTTTTTACATTTTATGATACTGTAACCACAAACATCTGTCCATCCATTTTACTGGGATTTTACACGACAGACTGACACGAAGTAGCTTCTGACTGTTACAGCTGCAGTAATTTTTATAAAAAAAACATACCTTCTGGTTCTGCTGCTGTTTGCAGAAATACGCAGCTCGGTCTGAACAACCAATCAGAGCCAGGAGGAAGGTCTTAGCGCTGTCAATCAAGCTTGTGTTGGTGCTGCTCACATCCTACCCCTTACTCTCTGCTAGGCTACAGGTAGTTCACCTCACCAGAAGCGTCTGTAAATGCTAGTTAGCATAGCCACCGATGACAGTGGATAAATGGTTTTCCTGTAACCATTAGGACACTGAATGGCACAGGCATGATTGACAGCGCCAAGGCCCTCCCCCTGACTCTGATTGGTGGTTCCTGAGTAAACAGTGCATTTCATCAGATGGATATATGACCACAGGGAGCTACCATCACCGACATGTAGTGACAGTTTTAACAATTATGTCAAAAAACATATTTAAAAAAAAACTAAAAGTTACATCTGCAGCTTTAATAGCAACTTTTTTATTTATTTTTTTTAAATCATCTTCACAACAAAACACCTGAAAGTGTCCCTTCACTGACTGCGCCTGTGAGCTACAGTATTTGTTCAGGACGACAGCAGGCGTCTTGCGTTCACATACGGTTAGCGTGCAGGAAGGCGGGGTAGAGCTCCTGGGGCAGCAGAGGGTCCGGCATGTCGCGCAGGAACTCCTTGAGCAGCGCCGCCACGTCGTGCACGCTGTGCTCCTCGTCCAGCTGGACGTCCACCCCCATGTCGAAGTCTTCACGCAGCTACGGGAGCAAACCAGATCGCTAACATCACAGAGGAACACGAGCTCATTAACGTGAACAACAGACTTGTGACATGTTGGGGTTACTCAGGGGCCACTCTGCCCTCCCCCCCTCACCCCAGTGGATGTGATTTCTAAATAACAGGATATATCACTTCATCAGTTTGAAGATTAGGTTTATTTTTGTAGCATCCAGCAGAGAGTAGCAGGAAGCGGCGCAGAGTGAACCAGGGGACGACACGTTGCTGCAGGCAGCGGCGCTTTGGTGTTTTATGGTCAAGAAGCAGTCAAATTGGGGTCACAGCTCTTAAAATAAAAATATATTTATGGGTCAGGCTTTAGTTTGGTGGCCTTGACCTCATTTTAGGCTTTAGCAGACCACAGAATCATTTGGAAAAAAAAAACTAAAAAAGGGTCTGGAAGTAGCTGGAAGGTGAAGATGAACTACACAGATATTAGACAGAAAGCTAAAATATCACAAATGAATAAGTTCTACTTGAAAATATGTGACGATTGATGTAAAGTGTCTCAAAGTTATAAGTAAACATCCATCCGTAAATTTATCCATTCATTGTCCTAACTGAGTCAAGATCTCCATGGTAACAGGTGGCGTTATTGCCAAGACCACTGAACCAGACAAAACCTGAGGCCAAGGGAACAAATCCTCAGCAGAATTAATGAAGAGAGCTAGCTTAGCCAACCTGATGGTCACGTGTTAAAGCTATGGAGCACAGTTCCTGCATAATTTATGCTGCATTTGGATCTAGTTGTGTTAGCTTGCCTTTTCCTTTTAGCTTTTCTTACTTGGCTATGATAAAAGTTAAAATTGTCCTAGACATCCACATTATAATTTATCCTCTGCTGAGTATCTTTGCTTTTCCACTTGATTTGATTTGCAAGTCAATTCTTTGTGCTTTGAGTGAGCAGTGAGCAGATCTTATCACCAACTGCTGACTTAACTGCTGTTGCCACTAATTTATTTCAGTCCATGTTCCCTGTAAATAAAACATAAATAAAAGATGGACAGGAATGTGATGCTGCGATGCCACAAATATTTGACAATGTCAAATGTTGTGCACAACGCCGTTCCAGTCAAAAGCCATGAAGCTCGGAAACTACGGCTCACATTT